TAAAAAAAAAAAAAAAAAACTAGAGGTATTATAATTTGTCCATTTATTCATATTGTTTAATCCCAGCTGCGAATGATATATGATTGTCCGTTTTTCTTCTATACGCGATAGAAATAATAATTTTGTTTCTTTTTTTCTTTTATTTAAATCAATTAAACAAATACGTTTGCATTAATTATTAATGACGTATTTGCTTCTACAAGATATATATATATTATATATATTTATTTCTTCTTTCCTTAACTACTTACTTATTCTGTTACGTTTCTCTTGTTGTTTCTTTTTAATACGTATCTTTGATAAAAAAGAAAAAAAGGAAATAAGAATCACATTCGATCATTCATTCCTTACGTAGAAATTAAATTTAATTTTTATCTATAAAAATTAAGATGAAATATGTTTGAAAAATTGTTAAACCCTGTTGCTGTATAGTTTCATTCAAATTACGCAAAATAATAATTAAAAACAAATATATAATATAAATATATATATTTTTGTTTTTCTTACTTATATTTTTTAGGTGGTAAAAAATTGTATAATAAGCGGAAGAGAAAAAGAAAAAGAAAAAGAAAAAAAAAAAAGAGAAATAGAATCCATCCTAAGTGAGAAGAAATTCGTGATAGAGAAAATCGAGAACGGATGACTAAAAACTATCCTGGGAATTTTGTGTTTCAGGTGAAGCTTTCTACGCGAGCTTAAAGCCAACGTTCTTGGAGAAACCCTACCCGTGTCGTCACTGCAATCGACGTTATAAGAACAAGAGCTCATTGAATCGTCACTTACAATACGAGTGTGGAAAAGAAAAACAATTCGTCTGTCCCATATGTCATAAAAAATTTATACAAAGGGGTAGTTTGCATAAACACATGGTCGCCTTGCATGGGTTTTAAAAGGAGAGAAGAAGGACGACAAGGATGAGAGGGAGTTCCTTCCCCATAAATACAAAATAAGAAAATTTGACAGAAAAAATAAAACAAAAATAATAATTATTATTATTATATATATATATATATATATTATTTTAAAAGGGGTTGAACATAAATTAAAATTAGTTGAATATAAAGAATATGAATGTAAGAGGGAGGGAGAGAAAGAGAGAGGGAGAGAGAGAGTGTGTGTGGATGTGTGTGTGTGTGTGTATGTTAGATGGAAAAATATCAACGAGGGACTATAAAAAAAGAAAAAAAAACAAATTCTAGTTATATATACAAAACAAACACCATTCCTAGCATACGTTACAAAAGAAACAAATAAAAAAAAGAAGAAGAAAAAGAAAATAATTGACTGAAAGAAAAATCATGTGCGTTAATACCTTTTACAGAGCACACCCAGCCCTTCTTCTTCTTACACCCCATTATTTTACCACAAACCAATTCCCGCATCTCCTTCCAAATTTATTTTTCTTACCTAAGCCCAACTGTTATATAAATAATAATAATAATAATAATAATAATAATAATAATAATATTATTGTGTAAAAATTTGTTTTATATATTCGCTTGCAAAACATATCACACGATGCAGATTAAAAAAAGAAAAAGAAAAAAAATGCATTTCACGTGGGTTTATTATATTTTAACATTATTCTTTTACCATGATCTTTTTATTTATATTATACATATGTATTTCACTACTTCTACTTCTACTTCTATTTCTATTTCTATTTCTATTTCTATTTCTATTTCTACTTCTACTTCTTCTGTATATTTTTATTTCGTTCTATTTTATCATTATTATGTTTTATGCGGTGTTTTTCTTTTTTCTTTTTGTATTTTTTTCTTGTCAATTTTATTTTTTATTATTTTATTAGATCTTAATCTCTCTACATATCTTTGATTAATTTATTTATTAATATTTACACGTTATTTTTTTATTATTTTGTTTCAAAGTGATGGAAGTATCAAAATGATTTGATATTAGCATCTTCTTTTATATCATTATTTTTCCCCTTAATCGAAAGAGAGAGAGAGAGAGAGAGAAAGTACAAGAAAAAAGAGATCGAAAAGAAATCAAGTAACACAAATTTGTATATATTTATATTTTTATTAATAATTAATAATAATAATAATAATAATAAAAGGAAAATGAAGAAATATCAAGTAGCATAAATACCATTATTAATAGCACATTATATACATTAATAATAGCACAAATACCAATATTATACATAATATAATAAGAAAATTTATAAATAAAAATATTCTATAAAATAAAAGATTTGTTATTATATTTGTTGGATAACAAAAAAAAATGTTTGATCTCTCTTTCTCTGTCACTCATAATATGTTAATATAAAACATAGGTTAAAAATGGGAAAAAACACGCACCCGCACCATACATAATTTAATATATAATACTTATATACACTTATAAGAAAAATCACTATGGCAAAATTTGTAATTATTTATTTATTGATATTGATTATGATTTACTTATCTATTATTATCCTTGGGCGCACTTATCTTTTCGGGGCTATTGGCTGATACGTTGTGTGTTGGGTTGGTTACGGGTACATATTCCTGTTTGTTTTTTTTTTTCTATATATATATATACATGTATATATAAATATTTATTTATTTATTTATTTATTTATTTATTTATACATACATATATATAATATATTATAATAATAATAATAATAATCTTCATCGAAATATCCTCCCTTTAAAACCAACAAATAATTTTTTATTCACAAACATATGAGGAATAGTCGTAACAAAAAAAAAAAAAGAAAAAAGAAGGAAAAAGAAATAAAAAAAAGAAATCGGTTGCATCAAAACCCCCACCCCGGCCCTGAGAGGCCCATAAAAAAAAAAAAATAATAAAAAATAAATAAAGGTCGAATGAAAAAATTTGTTTAAATCTCGCGTCTCGCTTGTGACGCTGGGACTTGTTACAGGTGTCGGTGCATTACTATCACTGTTACGTTCGGAATACAAACAACATCCAGGACGTTATGTTATTGGGAGAAAAAGAAAAGTCAGCAGCGGCGTTGGCAGTGGCAGTGGCGGTGGCAATGTCTTGATGGATCCATCAACAAGCGGTAATGAAATTCACGTGGTTGGTAGAACATTGCTTGAACGTCTGTCAACGAATACTACGATAACAGGTGGTGGTAGTGGGATCAACAGCAACATTAACAACAACAGCAACAGCAATGCTTCAGCATCGGGAATTGCAACGTTAACAAGATCAGCAATTGGTTCAACTGGTACAACCTATCGTAGTAGGAGTTCATCATTGATGGCAGATAACAACGACGATTACATACGTTCTTATGCAAGTAACAATAATAATAATAATAATAATAATGTATCATCGATTACTACGACAACTACTACTACAACAACAACTGGTCGCGAAGTTATATTTCCCGATTCGTTCGAGGTACTACCTCAACCACGCGATTTGAATTTAGTATACATGGACATACCCCATGAACAACAAAGAAAATTTCGTTGTCGTTTTTGCGGCAAAGGTTATAGATGGAAAAGTACAATGCGACGACACGAAATGGTCGAATGCGGTGGTAAACCACCTGCATTCCAATGCCCCGATTGTCCCTACAAGGCAAGGCAAAGGGGTAATTTAACGGTACATTACAAACGCCATCACTTAGATCAGAAACAAGAAAAATAAAGGGATTCCTCCTTTGGATTGGTTTAGTTGGTTTCAGTTGGTTCATTGGTTGATTAGCATTTTATTTTAACGTAGGTTAATTCATTATACGAATATTTTGGGCTCACGTTTGTGTGGAAAAGGGAAAGCCCCTTTTACTACTACTATTACTACTCCGTCTTCTCTTTTTATTTTATTTTTTTTTTTATTCTTATTTTATTTATAAACGGTATTCGCGTGCGTTATTATTACACGTTTACGTATATTATATACTCGTTTGAAAATCTGAATAAAAAATTTATCTTGCAAATTGTTTTTCTTTTTTTTTTTTTGTAATTGTTTATACTAAAGAATGTTTCGCTTTATACTAGCAGATATTATAAACGTACAAAAGATGTTCTTGTTTTTCTTTTATATTTTCTTAATTAATTAGAAAAAAAACAAAAAAAAAAACAAAAAAAAATGGAACGAATCGTTTGTCCACAATTAGTATAAATTTGATGGATGAAAAGAATTTTTTTTTTTTTTTTTTTTAATTTATTATTACATTCCATATTTGTTAGTCATTCCCAAGAAGAAGAAGAAAAAGAAGAAGAAGAAGCAGAAAAAAATTATTTCTTTTCTTTTTCTATTTTTAATAATAATAATACTTTAACAAATATTTTTCTAAGGTTGTAACACTGGAGTTTAATTTAATCAATGGGCATCTCTGATCGTCGTGCGTTAATTTATAATTAATTAAACGACAGACAAAAAAAAATAAAAAAAGAGAAAAAAAAATACGAGAAACTTCTCATCAACGTTAAGTAGTTTAAATAGTTAAGAAAAAAGAAGAAGAAGAGGAAGAAGAAGAAGAAAAAGAAGAAGAAGAAGAAAAAATAATAATAATACTTACACACACAAACAATTAGAGATTATTTTTTATCTAACAATAATTATTAGTCGAAAATAAAAATAACAAAAGCGGGTATGGATATATTATTATATTTTTTATCTAATCTCTTTTTTTTTTCTTTCTTTATTATAAATCTTAACACCGTGGTGAGTTACTTAAATTTTAAGGAATTTATTTCTTTTTTTTTTTTTTTTACATTCTAAACTTTTAAGCAATAATTTTGTCATGGTTCGCGAATGAACGAACCAACGTTAGGTATAAGTATAATAATATTATTACGTGTATATATACATTCGTTCGTTCGTTTTTTTTTTTTTATTTCTATTTTTTTTTTTCTTTCCTTTTATTACTCAATAATTTATAAACTCTTCGTTTTTTTTTTTTTTATTGGAGATGGTGTAATTATTAGATATAAATATTATAATAATAAGTTTAACGATACGGATAATGTTTTTTTCTTTTCTTTTTTTTTTTGATCTTTTTAATTTATTAACGATTATTCTCATTTACGTACAAAAAAAAAATTGAAATAAAAAAAAATATTAAAAAAAAAGAAGAAGAAATATACGCGCACGCACATACACACACGCACACGCACACACAAAATATTGAACACGTCGTTACTTTGAAATCCACGCTTATGGGGTACGCTTCTTTCGAACTTCTTCCTTTTTCGTGGACGAAAAGAAAAAAAAAAAGAAAAAAAGGAGAAGGGCATAAGAAGCAGAGGAAAAAAAAAATAAGAACAAGGGTAAAGCGTTGAAAGTGGAAGGAAGATTCGCACGACGATTATCGAGCCAATAGGCGAGCGATATTTAATTAAATAATAATTCCAAGATGATCTTTCTTTTTTAACAAAGATCACCGATTTATATTTTTAAATAGAATTTTATATTTATAGTGACAAACAAAAATATATTTTGTGAGAAACAAAGACATTCCATGAGGGAGTTTGAATATTTTCTTTTTTTTTTTTTTTAACGTGTGTGTCTCTCTCTCTAGAAAGCAGAAGAAAAAAAGAAAGAAGATAACAAAAACAAAGTGGGATATAAGATTTTTCTACGATTTTTCTAATGCTATTACTAATTATTATTAATAATTAAGTGACACAGTATTAAAACAGTGCCTTCTCTTGTATTTTTATAAAGGTAAACAGTTTTTTTTTCGTTTTCTAACTCTATGAGAAAAAAAAAAGATAAAAAATTATTATAAAAAGAAAGAAAACATATATATGCAAAAAGAATTTATTTTTTAAAAGAATTTATACTTTTTCTTTTTTACTAATATAAATAGAAATTTTTAAATGAAAAGAAAAATATTTATATTTTTTATACGAAAGAGAAAGATATTTTTTTATAAAAATTATAATACTAATAATAATACAATAATAATTAAAAAAAGAAACTGTTCCTTAGAATTATTATTATAATATATATTATATTAAAATACATATATATATATTATATTTATATATTATATATATAATATATATTATATATTATATATTATATATTATATATTATATATTATAATATATTATATAATATATATATAATAATAATATTATATAATAATATATATATGTTTATACATGATCATTCATAAAGTGCTGATAATTAATATAATATAAACAAAACAAAAAAGATAAAGGTAGCTGTAATCGTTGGTAATTTTTGATATTTGCGAAACAATCTTCGAGGATTGGTTTACTTGAAAACCCTTAGATTCTTAATGATTTATATATATGTATCAATAAATTAATAATTATAAACAATAAGAAATTTTTAATTGTATAATTCTGAATATGTTAATAACAATTAATAACAATCGAGATAGATCTTCCGATATTTTGTTACATGTTGTGATAATAATTAAATAATAATAAATATGAATTGAGAGTCCTAATATATTTGGAAATTTTCAACAAAGACTATAAACAAGTTTTTAACAAACATTGACGAATATTTTCTTGTAAGAAAAACATTAGGCTCGTGATATGATTTGTTTCTTTTTTAATCAATCGGGCTAGGGGGGGGGGTTGTTTGTTGAATTTTTTGTTTTTTTTTTATCGGCAGATCCTCCGATGTTATTAGTTGTAATGTGTAAAAACAAAACAAATTGTTACGAATGATTAATAATGTGTTCTTATTCTCTATGCGTGTGTCACTTTTTTTCTAATTGTAATTATTAATTTTATCTTTTTCTATCAATTCAATCGTCTTCTTGATAAAATAACGAAATAATTGTGTTAATATTAAAATTACTAATAACAGAGATTGTTGTTGATCTTCAAACTTTCCGTCGATCTTTTTGAAACTTAAAAAGACATATCAGGTAAAAAAAATAGTAGTAATAATAATAATAATAATAATATTTTATATATATATATATTTATAGATAAATATGTAAACATATAAATATATGTAGAAATATATATAGAAATATATTTTTAGACGAATATACCTTAATAAATAAACAACACACCGTATTGCGTACAACAAAAGAAAAAAGCAAAAAGAGAAAAATTGTTACAAATTTACAAAATAAATTTATTTCATAAGAATTGTAATTTAAATAATAAACGCGTGGGGAGTTATGGAATTGAACAACAATTTCATTATTATTTAAATCAATCATATCGTATTTTATCTATCGAAAACACATATACATACTCTTATATAGCTAAATAAGTATATCAAATGTTTTCCAGTTTAATATATATATACACACACCACGTTTATATTAATGTCAATTTAATATATAAATATATTTTCATAAAGAGATTAACAAAAAGATTTACGTATATAGGTATATGTATCATGTTATATAATACATAAAAAAAAAAGAAAGAAAGAAAGCAAGCAAGCAAGAGAGAGAGAGAGAGAGAACGAAAAAGAAAGAAAGAAAATAAAAATTAACAATAATGACAATGATATTGATAATAAAAAAAAATAATAATAATATAACTACAATAAATAATATAACGATAAGTAATAATTAACGATAATAATAGACAATGATCTTGATAACAATGACGTTTAAGAAAAGCCCTGATAACACCCACCACCACCCACCACCCCACCCTATCCCCCGTCCAACCGAGGTGCGCGCGCGTCAGTATTTTTGATATCAGTATTTTGTAAACCATTAATTTCGCATCTACCTGCCTGCGAAATGACTCGTACAGTATACTCCTTCATTCTTTCATATAACATTCTTCCCTCTCTGTCCCTCTTCACACCTATCTTTCATCCAATCGCCCGTAATCGTGTCAAGAATTTTATTCGTCAATTATTTTCTTTTTCTTTTTTTTTTTCTTATCAAATTCATCTCAAGCTCCTTTTTCATTTTTTTTTGGTTCAATAATCTTATCCTCGAAATATTATCTAATATTAATGTATTTCATTTCACCTCTCTGCCACCACCACCACCACCACGACCTCCTCCTCCCTTCCATTGATCCTCTCCCACCTTTTTCTTTTTTTTTCCTTAACTACATTTACTCGGAAAGTTTTATTTGACGAATATATACGTATATATATATATATATA